CTGAGACCATATATTCTGACAATATTTCCTAATGGTGACGTATAGAGGGTAAATAAAATCGGACCAAGAACAGAACCTTGGGGAACCCCAGATGACAAAACAGATTCAGACGACGATTTGCAATTAACTAAAATACACTGTTTTCTACCCACAAGATAGCTCTCTAAAAGATTTAATGCAGAGCCACAAATACCGAATTTAAATTGAAGTCTACGTAGAAGAATGGAAGGGTCCACAGTGTCGAAAGCAGCAGATAAATCTAATAAAATTAAAAATGTACATTTTCTATTATCAATTTCCATTAAAATATCATTTGAAACCCGGGTTAAAGCTGTTTCGGTACTGTGAAATTGTTTATAAGCACTTTGAAATGGTTCATACAAACAGTTATCATCTAGATGGGCCTTTATCTGAGAAGCAATACATTTCTCCAATATTTTAGAAATAAAACTTAAGTTAGAGACTGGCCTGTAATTTTTAAAAACATTAGGATCCAGTGTAGACTTTTTAATTAAAGGGGTAACATAAGCTCGTTTGAAAACGTTGGGAATAGTAGCGGATGATATACAAGAATTAATAATATTGGTAAAAACTGGAATAACTTCGTCTAGACAGTCCTTAAGAACAGAAGTCGGAACAGGATCTAATGAACAAGATTTAGGAGCAGACGATTTAATTAGCTTTAAAACAAAAGATTCACTAACCAAGTTAAAATTTTCTAAATAAACAGAATTTTCTAACTTATCAAAATCATGAGCGTTAAAGTCAATAGTTTTATTTAAATCATCAAGTTCAGTTCGTATTTTCTGTATTTTTATTTGAAAGTAATCAGAGAATAAATTTGCAAGTTCAGTGTCATTCTCTTTGTCCGGGAGGATAGTACGCTCAGCATTATGGTCCAAAAGGGAATTCACAACTTTATACAGGTCTTTTTGTCTGTTTTCGCCATTTTCTATGTTATCAGAGTAAAATTTAATTTTAGCATCTTCAATTAATTTATTCACATTGTTTTTTAAAGATTTATAAATCTGTTTATGGACATGTGGATTTGTTTTCCGCCACAGATGTTCAGCCTTATTACGGTCCCTTTTGGCTTCTAAAATAGAATCATTAAACCACTGCGTATTGGGACGAATAGTAAATGTTTTCGTTTGAAGAGGAACAAGCGAGTCCAAAATTTCAGCAAGCTTTGAGTGATATTGGGTTGCCTTCTCTTGTATATCTTGAATACGTTGAATGCCATTGAAATTCGAGTTCACTATTTATGTCAAATGATTTAAACCTTCGATATGTTAAAGTCTTTCTTGTTGGTTGTGGTTTCTGGATCATAAGATTAAAAGTTGCCGGGAAATGATCAGATATTAATTTGTCCGAAACAGAGAGATTATCCAGTTTAATATCACGTGGATTAGTTATCACCAGATCGAGAATATGTCCACCGTTATGAGTAGAAGAAGAAACATGTTGTGTGAGAGATCTATTATTCAGCATATCACAAAAATCAACCGCGGTAGAGTCGTTGGAATCATCAACATGAAAATTGAAATCTCTCCAAATAATAGTGCAACACTTAGTCATCATCAACTGGTCCAGAAATAATCCAAATTCTTCCATAAACCTTTGACACAATTTGCTATTGGGCGGGCGGTAAATTGTAATAATCCTAGTTTCCTTGAAAGAAAACTGTAAAGAACAACTTATAATCGAGTTTGGATCTTATTAACGCTCGATATATTCTCTGCAAGACATTACGGTCTGCTCCCCATTTAGTGTTTGACAAGACTATCAATATGTTATGGCATTTCAGACATTTCTTCTTGTGGCTTTTTATACAGGGTATAAATGATAATATCTTATCAAATAGCAAGCCTAAGAATTTCGTCTCGTCTATAACTGGAATGGTACTAGCATCCAGTGTAAGCTCCGGATCAGGACACAGACAGACTTTCGGAACTCGAAATCCATTGTCAGTTGCCCACCGTTGAATAGAATTCAAGCAAAGCTGCAACTTTAGTCCGATTGTCTGTATACTGAAAATCATCAACATAAGGACAGCCGTCGACCCCACGTTTAAGGTACGCCAGTTTCGTATTAATGTTAATAGAAAATAGCGTGGGGGATAATATATTTCCCTGGGGGTCTCCCATTTCCTCAAGAAATGGATCAGAAAAAAATTGAGCCCAATTGATACCTTAAAAGAAATAAAGATAGATAGAGAGAGAGAGAGAGACCCTACTCCTTGTCACGTACAACCGGGGATTCGAAACCACGCCGCTGATTCAATGACAGGCCTTATGATATAGCGCGTACGGTTTTTTTTGTTTTTTTTATTCATAGAAAGACATTAATACATTACATGTTCATTGCGAATACAATCGTAATTATAATATAAAAACTTTTTTTTTTTTTTTTTTTTTTTTTTTTGCGTTTCCTTAAAACATTTCAAATTTGTGAGAAAAAAAAAACAAAAAAAAAACAAAAAAAAACTTATAAAATATATAATTTACAATTAAGAGTTTTTTTTTTATGTACATCAAAACTAGGTTAAAAAGGTAAAAAAATGATTCGTCAACTAAAGGTTATCACGCTTCGTAGAAATGATTTACAGGGTTCAGGAAAGTCATACAAATTCGAAGGATCTTAGTTTAGAAAGATTCTTCTATTGCTATTTCCTGTGGAGGTATACTAAAGATTTTATTAGCTTAATGCATTTCCCCTACTGTCGAAAACGAAATGTAGGGGTTCTCGTAGAAATAAGTCTCTACGCCACTTTGTTATCAACTAGAAAAGTGACTATATATCTATACATAATTTAACATGTGAACCTTCAAAAGTAATATAAGGAGGTGAGAGTATAGCGTTTTTAAATCTGTCATCTTTTAATTTGAAATACATATAATTCAGATGTTTTTCAAGCATTTTCTTAAATAATTTAATAGTGTCTATCTTTCTATTATGGTTAATATACATAAATCTTCTTTTAATAATTGCTAAGCGTATAAAGGAGAAAAACATATTTAGAAAATTATTGGATTTACTATCTTTTAGTACTGGCATTCCAAATACAGTCCACGTAAGCAATTGTTCCTTTGTAAATCCATACGGATAGAAATCTATCAGGAACAGGCGGATCTGTTCGTGGAGTTCTGATAGTTCCGGACACCCCAGAAGCAAGTGATGCATGGTTTCTACAATATTCTTGTTACAAATTGTACAATATGGTTCTTGAATCATACGAATTCTACAAAGCTTTTCGTTGGTAAATATAACGTTATGGCATATTTTATAATCATTTAGAATACAGTCAGCGCTTTTATAACGGTTAAAGACATTTTGCCACACCTTTGGCCATTTAACGTGAAAATTAAAGTTCCTCCAGAAAACTGCTGAAGTGGGCTCTTTAAATATGTTATTAATTAGAGATCTGTAGAAAAATCTGGATGAGCAGTTAGATATTAACAATGGTTTGTCGTTATGAATTTAATATAAATCATTTTCATTGTTGGTAAAACCAGATTGGCTGTTTAAAATATGAAGCCATTCTTTTGGCAGGGAAGCACATATTGTCTTAAACATATTCTTGACTTCATCATCGTCGATTTCACTTGTATCTTCGAAGTCGTAATGACAGTGAAAAAGGTCTAGAATATGCCTAGTCGGGAGTATACTAGGAATAGCACAGTATATGATATCACAGACTTTAGTAATATTATGTTGAATAAACAATTCATATGATAAAACCTTATTATTATATACAATTAGTGGGTTATAGAATAAAGGCTGGCTAGTTATTTCCGAGTAGAATTTAGGTACATATCGATTTGGGTTGATTGTATTCCAGGATTTCAGTAGCGACTTATAAAATTCTGGTATTTTAGGGAACCTTTAGGCACATAAATCATGGAGAAAGCTTCTAAAGTCAAATTCATATTAAGGTACATCTTGAGAAAGTGTGCCATTAGATACTTCCAAATTGCAGACACAGATTTGTTGCAAAACATCTTAAGGTAGGACAGTCTAAAAGCCATTTGCCTACTTACAATAAAGATAGGCAACCGTAGGTACCCGTTCTCCAGATCGAAGAAAATGGCAACTAAATGTTGTTTCTGGATGAAAGCGTCCCTGACGAACGTTTCAAATCGAACGAGATGATTAAGAGTGCTCCTTTGGGGCCGAAATCCACATTAAAGGTCTGTAATAAGCGTGTTGGTCTCCACGTACCAAACATGCCTCCATGGTTTTGCAAATGCTGCTAGTTAAAGCGATCGCACGATAACTGGTAGGATTCGTAGGATCTTTACCCAGTTTAGGGGTGAGAATTATTGTGGCTACCCGCCACATAGGAGGGAAATTCCCATCAACCCTAATTCGGTTAAAAGGATCTAACAAAATTAAGAGTGTTGGTAAAGGTAAAAGTTTAGAAATTTGGTAGTGTATTTCATTTGGACCAGTTGCAGTGTCGCAAGCTCGCTTAAACAAATCCCGGAGCTCTGCAACAGAGAAGTTATGATTGTAGCAGTGCGGGACTTAAAATGTGGTACGGGAATTGATCCTAGAGACGTAACCTTGCCATGAAAACTTCTTTGCTTGACGTATGGTTCCACGGGCCTTCGCCCGAACTATCTGGTATGCAGCAACATTTTCCACGGAAAGGTTGGTCTTTAGTCGTCCGAGGATACGATCACGCTCTTTTAGAGCGGATTTGCAATCGTCATTATACTATGGTTTAATGAAACGTCTTGGTTTAGTCGTGGTCTTTGGAATCGCTTGCTCAGCTACATCTGGAAGAATTGAAGTGAATAAGGCCATGGGTTCATCTGCATCTTCAAAGTCCTTTGCATCAAAAGAGAAGTGACACAAAGTTTCAAAAAGAAACCAATCAGCCTTATGCAACTTCCACCTCTGAGGTATTTCGACTGCAGAGGGACCATTATTATCAATCAAGATAGGAAAGTTGTCACTTCCACATTGATCATCATTTCATTTCATTTCATTTCCAGAACAAATGGTGAGATCATGGGAAGAAAACGAAGCCGTTGCTCGATGTAGGTAAGTAGGCGTGTCATTATTAATGTTAACGAAGTCAACGACTTGATTATTACCTCTGATGTTATTGCCAGGACTACCCCAGAGTGTAAGGTGACCACTGGAATCCCCCGTATGGATAGTGGGTGGGGGTTATTGTACTGTCAGGTGATCAGCATCCTTGGTTTTTAGCGTTAAATGAAATGGGGTTTAACGTCCTACTAATCTGCTCCGAGGTTTAGCTTTAAACTTGGTGGCAGGTACGCAGAGCATAGAGTAATAGGGATATGTAAATCCACCCTTGCAACCACAGCTTGTAAAAGAGTGGTTAGGGAAACTTGACTCTGTGGAACGTCTCCATTAAGAATAATGGAACACCACCATGTGCTCTACCATCATTATTAGCAAAATGATTATAGGCAATAAAATGATTAAATGATAATTTATCAGAAGTTTTAAGAAATGTTTCTTGTAAACAGATATCTAATGGATTGAATTTTTGTATAAGGATTCTGACTTCAGTAAAAATTTGGCTTAATATCACTACAGTTCTATTGAATTATTGAATTGACCATCATCAGAGATGTTTAATTGGGATTGGGGTCGTCAATCTTCACATCAACATCCATCACATCGTCCTGATTACCGAACCTGTTATTGTTCTGGACAGTATCTTCTCCACCCTTCCTGCTACGGAGGGATAATAGTTTTGAACCGGCCTTCGGTTTCTTTGGTATTAGAGGCTTAGTACCCGGAAGCTGACTGGGCCAACTCGGTCTGCAAGCAACGTAAACCTCTCTGGACTCGCTATATTTGCAAATGAAGTTGCAAATACGGGCGATGGTGTGGCAAGCTCAGCCAATTTACGCGGCTCAGTGTAAGAAATATTTTTTTCTGTTTTTATCTGTTGCACCTGTTTCTCTTTTCCCCCAGAAAGGACACTTAAATAGGCAAACACGGGCTCCTTTGCAATTGGCACGGTGTTGTTGGACGCCACCTGAGACCATTTCTGTTCGTCTTCCGCCTGCAGTTTCTATATTTGCACCTGAACTCCAGGCCATTCTGCACATTAAACCTGTCTTAGGAAACTGACCAAACCCCCATAGAACCAACAGGAGGCATGAAGTTGTGTTGTGTCGCTCTCGCATTGGTCATACCTTTTAACTCACATTTCCATCTTAAAGAGAGAGCCTTGGCCAGAATGTAAACACTGTCCTGTTTCTTTGACAGTCAAGCACATTGTGATTGAGTGCAAGCATCTTACAGATACTAGCTGAAATTATTACCGTTGCCAATCTCTACGTCAATTATTTGCTTTACCGGAGCTATATTGTAAAACGTTAGATTTTTTTTAAAGAGGCAAATTTTTATGGAAAATTTTAATTTGTATATATACTTGTTTTTTGTGTTGTACTGGGTACATGTATTTAAATCAGAGAAAGGGTTTACACAAAGGCATATCCTGTTCCCCAATCCGAATTCATATATACTTTTCAAAAAAAGTAGGCGATATTGAAATGCAAATACCTATGCAGGTTGTGATATGATAAATAATCAAGGACTGTTGAAATGCTTTGAGAGTATGTTCACAGATGAAGAACTTGTCGCCCGAACAGAACCACTGAGCTCAATGTTTGACACGCAATAGCGCCATACACGTGGAAGGGGTTCATTGTCAAATTTGACACTTCAAGGAAAGGTTGATATAAATTGCCGCGTGCTGGTTTATCCTAGCCATGTTTGCTTTCCTATCGGTTCTTGTATAAGATTAACTGTTTAACGTATCTTTTTGCTTTAGTCTGTTACGTTTAATTTGCAATGAGACGTCTTCAACAGGATGAACGTCTACGTGCTATTGGCATGCTTCAAATGGGTTCTACACAGCGAGCAGAAGCCAACATGCTTAATGTGTCACAGTCTGTGGTCAGCAGACGGTGGAACCGGTACCAACACACACACAATGGGGATTGGTTGAGCAATTACTCATTATTAAGACAAAAATCAAAAACGTCCATTTGCGAGTGAAATGGGGCCGTCAGACAAGCCGCCCATATTAACTGTTTATGTTCATGTGAGACAATTGGCCTGTTATTAACATACACTGGTGACCTCTAATACAAACAGCAGTGCGGTTTTGTATTGTTTCTGAATATCCTCTACTTTATTTAAGAGTATATTTACTGAATTAAAATACTGTTTATAAAAATAATAAACTGAAAGGCGGTTGCTACCCAGGGAATGTTCTGGATCTGGATTTAAACCTCGTTTCTGACTGAAATGCATGCAGACAGTCTTGGATTTCAAAAAGCGAAATCAATTTTCAGTTGCCCATTATTGAAGTGAGTTCAAACAAAGCTACAACTTATGTTGCATATCTGTAGAACCATATCACCCAGTTGTACCGTAAATTTTTAATGAAGACAGGTAAGCGATCTCGTAGTGTTATGGAAGTCGCGCATGGTATCATATTTCCATGTGGTATCACAAATTTGCTCCTGATCAAAAAAATATTACAACTAAAAGTTGCTTGTGGATGAAAGCGTCATTGACGAACGTTTCAAATTGGACGAGATGATCAAGAGTGCTTCTGTGGGACCGAAATCCACATTGGACGTCAGGAAATCAGCTTGCTGAACTCAAGGTACCTAACAAGACTTCGATTAATCAATCTCTTTATACTTTTACAAATGCAGATAGTTAAAGCATTTTTAAAGCATGACAATTTGTAGGATCCGTAGGATCTTTACTAAGTTTAAGGATAGGACTTATCGTGGCTTCATGCCACAAAGGAGGACAATTTCCATGAACCTAAAACCGGTTAAGCGATCCAATAATATTAAGACTGTTGGAATGGGTAAATTGTTTTAGAACCTAATCGTGAATTTTACCTGGAACTGTTGCAGTGTCCCGAGCTCGATTTAGCGAATCGGACAGGTCTGCAATGGAAACATTGTCATTATAACATTCACCATTACGTCGCCTTTTCTCCTGTTGATTTTTAATGCCCGGAAATGCATCATAGGAGAAATTGGATGATGAATTAAATGAAAATGCATTGATCGGAGAATTAGCAATATTTGGAAATGTTAAGGTGGCATTACCAACATTTAGATGGTTAATTGATAATGCACTACTTGTACCATTAATCCCACGAATCCTATCGCATAGCGACCTGGGTGTGATAGGGGGATTGATCCTCTAGACGTAACCTTGTCATGGAAGATTTCTTTACTTGAAGCATAGTTCTAAGGGCCTTTGAAAGGAGGATTCAAAATACGGCCACGGTCATTATACCATGCATGGTTTATTAAAACGTTTTGGTTCAGTCGTGTTTTTTGGAATCGCCTGCTCATTTACATCTTGTAGTATTTACAAGTGTTTAATTTCTCAATCACTGTTAAAAATAAACAACACAATTGATTATTGGTGTATAAAAGCGTGTCCGCGAGAGCACCAAACAGTGGGTGATAACTCTTAGGTCAGGGATTTGGACCAATTTTTTTCTGTGAGACGAGTAAGTACCCAGATACTTCCCCACAAAACATTAGATTGATTCAGTTGATAGCCACTTGGAAAATTGAAAATAATATTTTTAATAGAAAAATGAGCAAAAATTGGACAATTTTGGAACCAAATTTGGATGATCTGCTATTCGGAAAATACTTGATTTGGAAAGACAAAATTTTGGGCATTACTAGGACCACGAAGGTTCCTCCTACACACCAAGTTTAAAGTTTCTTCTGCTAATCTAATTCTACCTTGGTACTGGCCGGATACCCAACCAAAGTTTGAGATGCGATAGCTCGTTCTTTGCAGTGACTAGGAACAAAGTTGAATGTTACCCACAACTAACTACCTTCCTACTAACAAAATAAAAAATAAAATTGACCGGAACAGGGAGAGTAAACAACAGGAGAAATAACGTAAAAACACCAAAAATTCGAATAAAATGTTTCGTTTATCATTATCCCAGATGAAGAATACGTATGGACATCTTTACAAATTTAATATATTCCATTTAGTCGTTAGCAGCGAAACAGAGTAAAGTGAGATTTAGCGTCCACTGGGCACAAACTAGGTCATTTTGGGACTAACGTATGGTGATGCATAGTTATGGACATCTTTACAAAGTGAATGTATTTCATTTCATTTGCAACGGTAATTTTGACTTAAGAGAGAGATAAATGGGGCTTAAAGTCTACTCGACACAAACTTGGTCATTTTGGGACTAACATATGGTACAATTTTACTTTAATAATACGTTGTGCGAAAAGAGAAAATCCATGAGGTTGGACAAACAACACTACAACATGTCACCTGCAACCTGTCACACCACCTAACTCATTGACATTCCTTATGATCTAAAGACCATGTGTTAGACCAGGGACAAGTTTCATGAATATCCAATGCAATTTTACACCGAATAAATCATCTTATATGAATATGACATGGTAATGAAAGGTGAAATAAGATACACAATTCAGAGTAAGCTCAGCTCTCGGGTAAAATTTAGAAGGAAGGTCAGGAAGTATTTACACTCGGACATAGGAATCTAAGTACGTGAGCACTTCTACTTGAACGTAGGTATATGTAGGAGGTTGGCGCATGCGAGGTGCCATAAATCCTGTTGTAATCTGTGTCATCTTCCCCTTCAGAGATTTCAATACCAGACATTGAATGTCCCTACATGAACACTTCTAAATGTTTTTCTTATGGTTCTTCTTTACATGAGCAGGTGGACAATAGATATATCAAGTTTATGATAGTCATGTCAGGCAATAAACCTATACGGTGATCTGCTCCTAAATACAGATCTTAATAACCGTGGTCTGATCCTTGCAAATTTATGCACGCGACTTATGACCCTTCATTATGGTTATCAAGTGATGGTGAAAGTCAGTTTTTGTCACAAAAATATTATGATTTTAAACAAAATGACCTATTTGACACGAGGCACATATGGTGATGATCAGTAGTCATTTAAAGATAATCGATTTTCATTGCTGAAAAGGCGCTGTTTTGGC